TCTGTGTAGCCCTGGCTGTCCTGGAACTAGCTCTCTGTAGACCAGGCTGACCTTGAACTCACACAGATCTTCTTGCCTCTGCCTCCCGAGTGCTGGGACTACTCGGCTTGCATCACCACTGGCTTCAAGTGCCTTTCTTAAGACGGTGTTGTTAAGATTAGGTACTGATGATTTCTAGACTTTGACACAATTATAAGAAAACCAGAGCTCAGAGAGATTATGCCGTTTACCCAAATTTACCCAGCAAGGCAGTGAAGGAACTGGGATCTATATTCAGTCCCCTGCTAAGATGCTTGAGTCTGGTGACTGGCAGTGACTTAGACTATCAGACAGCCACCCACCCTTGCCACGTACCTGGAGGCTGTTGAGAATGGTGAAGATGTAGTGAGAGACCATGGAATCTTGATCAAATATAACAACCACGCCCAGTCCCCAGGTGAGGCCAAAGATGGGCGTGAGAATAAGCAGGGCTTTAAGCACCCCGACAAGAGCTTGGTGCTTCTCTGCCGGGGGTCCCTCTGACAGTGAAGGTCTTACGAGCTTCAACACAGCTATGACAAGGACCAGCCCGTTTACACAGACGATGACCAGCACTGGCTCGCTGAAAGCATGCAGCATGACTCCATCTCCATTCAACAGACATTTCCCCTCCCACAAGTATTTCCTTTGAGGCAAGTAGAGGCCCAGGGTGATACCTGCAAACCCCAGTGGGCACAGGTAGCCCAGTATCACCATCAGGGACAGAACCAAGTACTTGGACAGCTGATGGAAGACAAAAAGCAGCTGGTGGGCCATCACCAGGGCCTGTGCCAGCATCCAGAAAAAAGTGGCCAGGTAGAAAAAGTGGCACAGGAAAGCAGTGGCCAGGCACAAGAGGCTGTGGTACCCAGAAGGAAAGAACGGGCTTCCCAGGAAGCACGTGTCTGCGACCAGCAAGCAGATCACCATGTTATACAGGGTGGCATGGCGGAAGAAGGAGACTTTGTTCCGAACAACCACTCTCCATACCAGCCTGTAAATAACCAGGCACATGAGCAGTGCTAGGATGGAAACCCCAACACCCACCTGACTCAGCAGGTCCAGGATAGGATTTTCTGGGACGGTGTGTTGGGACATGAGGATGGAAAAGGCAGTGAGATGCTGGCAAACACACTGAATGATGGTGCTGGTGTTGGCTGCATGAACCTGGCACCCTTTATCTGACCAACCCCCCTGACCCTGGAAGAGACTGTAGTCCCAGAAGACACAGTGCAGGGTTCCATTCATGTGTTCAAAGTCCATGATAAGTTCTGCCTGTGTGAAGGTCTGGCCATCAGCTGTAATGGAGACCACCAGGACCAGCCCAGGAGTGGTATATGGGGTGTTCCACAGCCCTTGCGTATAGCTTGAGGGCAGATGGTGGTCCAGCTTTTGCAGTACTAGGCTAGTAATACTGACGTTAGTTCCATTATGGACCAGTGGGGCCAGTGAATACCATGGGATCCGTGCCTGCAGGAGGGGCCAGGCAGAGAAGGACATTTGGTAGCCAGGAGGAGAGGTGTGTCTGAGGAGCTGGCTCTGCAGTAGGACATTAGATGAGGTGAAGAAGAAAGGGTGCTGCTGTGGCCTCAAGCTGTGGACCAAGGTCTCCACAGCCTTCAGGAGATCTGAGGCCAGCGAGGGCTTCTGGGCCTGGGCCAGAGTCCACAGAGAGCTGAGGTTCACCTCTAGAATCTTGTCTGTGGTTGTCAGGAGATCCTATAGTGGCCAACAGAAGGAGGGATGTGACTTGCCAGAGTCTACAGGGGCACTAGGACCCAAAGACCCCATCATTTCTCTCCATGGCAAGACCTGGGGCTGGAGAGAAAAGGTTACAGGAGGACAGGTCTGTTGAGGAGACCATCTAGGTCGGAGGGATGGGGCACTGTCAGCTGCTACTGGGGTCTCTCGGGTTCATGGTCTCCAAATCACACCCAGGTCCTCTGCCTAATGCCTTTTCTCCCACTTGCATCCTTTGGGACCTCCCGAGTCCTACAAAGGTCCTTCTTCAATCCCATAACCTGTCCAGTTCTGCACAGCTGGGAACAGTGGCCAAGGGCAGGGAGCATACTATTCTGAAGTTGAGAGACATTCAGTCATGCAGGTGGCAGCTTTACCTTGGCTTTAATATACATGGTTAGGGTCTCAGCCTCTGTGCATGTGTCTGCATGGCCGTCCCTGCAGTTTAACGGCCGACAGGAAGGGTGTGTGGTATCATTGCCTCTTGTTATCCATTTTAATTTCTTTCTCCTTTTTTTTTTTTTTTTTTTTTTTTTTGTTTTTTGTTTGAGACAGGGTTTCTCTGTGTAGCCCTGGCTGATCTGTAGACCAAGTTGGCCTTGAATTCACAGAGATCTGCTTGCCTCTTCCTGGGATTAAGGGAGTGTGCCACCACTGCCTGGCTACCTGGCAATACCAAGTGTGTCTGAGTGTCTCTGTGGGACTGGTTATCATGTATGGTGTGTGTGTGTGTGATGTTCCCAGGCTGGGTATCTGTGCATGTCTCTGAAGCCCAAGTTTCTCTACCCCTTCCTGCCTTCCAGCACCAGGTTTTCTTTACTCTCCATGGCTTTGGAGACTGGTTTTTAAGAACAGAGGAAGCAGGAGACAACATCTGGACTTGAAAGGATCCCTGTTGGGCTGCCCACATGATGCTGAAGGGCAGAAGCATTTATAATGGAAGTGTTGCCCTCTCACCCACCCACCCCACCCACCCCAAGTTGGCTCCCCGTGTGGCTCTGAAATCTTACCTTCAGGGCACTGTCTGTAAGCTCTGTTCGTGTCTCTGCTACCACGTTGGCCAGCAAGGTCACAGTGTGCAGCATTTCTTGTAAGTCAGAGGGGGTGCTGACCACACCCACCTGCCCTCTCAGCTGACTCAGGATGCGTTGTACCTCCTCATCCGGCTTTCCCTGGCCTTCCAGCAGCAGCTGACAGAAAAGACAGTGGGAAATCCTTACCAGAGAAGGACCACATCTTCCCCGACTCAGCTCCTTGTCCCTCTGCTCCAGAAGGGGCGGGTGGGGCGGGTGGAAGGAATGGATCCTGATGTTAAGAGAACAGACACTACTTGATGGGACTGTGGTTTGAGCTAAACACCCACCCCACCCCATCCCTGGAGGAGCCACTCCTCCTTCCCAGGTCTGCTAGGGGTCCAGATGAGAGAGGCTGAATAACAGGTAAGCTGGCATCAGGAAAAATTCCTGAATCTGTATTCTCAAGGGAAGGAGAAGGAGAGGAATAGATGTAGGGAGGGAAGGAGAGAGGGAGGGAGTGGGGGAGGGAATGCATGCAGACAGGTGGGCATGTAGGTACTTGGGCAGGCAAGCAGGCAGGCAGGAAGGCAGGCCAGTTGGCAAGTAGGGGGGCAGGCAGGTGTTGTTTGTTTGGAGAGTCATGCAGGTAGCAGCTTTACCTTGGCTTTAAGACACATGGCTAGGATCTTGGCCTCTGTGCAGGTGTTCTGGATGGGCCCCCAGATGCCATCAGGCCCACAGAGCCTCTTTACCACGCCCCTCTTATTCATGGGACATGGAGCCTGTGCCACAAAGCCAGCCTTGGTGACATTCCAGGCAACCACTAGGAAGTCCTCAGGGCAGGTAGTGTCTCCATCTGAACAAGGATCAGTGAGGCCTCAGCAGCCATAATATGGCCAGAGCCTTTGTTTTAACCCAAACCTATGTGGGCCTTGATACCTGAATCAGCGGCCCAAGGCAGAGGAACAACAAAGAAGACACCCTGTGTTCCAAGGACAAGTCACTTAGAGGTCAGCCAACTGGACTCAAGCCCCACATACCCTGGATGACGGTGATGGAGACAGGAGCCCTGAGAGGAGCCAGGTTCTGACTGTGAAGGGTACACGTATATGTGGTATCGGCTGCTGGGCAGCGCTCAACAGTCAGCACCAGGCATTGGGAATCCGAGAAGTTATGCAGGGAGGCTGACGGTAGGAGAGAAGAGAAAAATGAACCATCACTGGCTGAAGCAGGTGAGAGCTAAGCAGGTCCCCAAATGCCACTTCAGAGCGGTCTTAGAAGATGAAGCAGTGAGGGAAAGCTGAATACTATGTCAGCATCCAACTACTGGGTACAGAATTGGGGTTTCACTGACATGCACCCTTTTGGGTCTCTAGTCCAGGGACTTGGTTTTAATATGTTTTAAAATATTTGTTCTTGCTAAAAAGATTCACTTTAGTTTGAATTGTGTGTGTGTGTGTGTGTGTGTGTGTGTGTGTGTGTCTTTGTGTAGATATATGCATGAACAACAGTGCCCACAGAGTCCAGAAGAGAGCTTCAGAGCCCCTGGAGCTGGGGTCGCTTGTGATGAGCCACCCACCTGGCATGGGTGCCGGGAACTGATCTTGGGTCCTCTGGAAAAGCAGCAGCAAGTGCTTTTAATTGCTAAGCCATCTCTCTAGCTGCAGTGGCCTCCCTTTTAAAGATTCGTTTATTTGTGTATTTTATGTGTATGAGTTCTGTCTTCACACACACCAAAAGGCACTACATTTCATTACAGATGGTTGTGAGCCACCATGTGATTGCTGGGAATTGAACTCTGGACCTCTGGAAAAGCAGTCAAGTGCTCTTAACCACCCAGCCATCTCTCCGGTGTCCCAGTTTCCTCTTTTTTAAAAAACAGGATATTATTAAACTAACCTCATGAGGTTTACCACAAGTGGGAGTGTGTGATGGAAGGTTCCATCAACAGAACAGGGATTGCTCTGAGGGGTGAAAACACTGAACATGGACATCCAACTCCCATCCTAAACTGGGCATGCTGCCTGGAGGGGCCAATCACAGACAGCTTTGACCGTCTCCTACCTTGGCTGCCCTGCCCAGGGCTCCAAGTGGCAGTGTAGGCCAAGTTTGTGAGCGGGATGCAGCAGCTCAGTTGGAATCCAGTGGAGGCAACACAGGAGATGGACAGCTTGTCTGGAAGTCGAACCACTTCTTTCTCCTCCAAGGGTACCTGCACCACCTGATGCAGCTCCCACCTGAATCCCTGGGCCTCAAAGATGCTCACGTACAAACCTGCAGAGACAGACCCACTCTCCCTGGTGGCTGGCCCAGGTCTGCCTTCGAGCCAGCTGGCTCTCCACTGTTTTCTGGGTCACAGCCCAGATCCTCCAGCTTCTCTCCTCTGCTCAGCACCAGGAACTTACTCCCAGCTAGAAGGTCTCAGGATGAAGAACAACCCCTCCCCAGGGAGAAAGATCTGTGGAAGAAATTCTTGGCCTGTTTATCTTAGCCAGTGCTGACAGAACTCTAAGGTGAGCTCCTTCCCCACAATGTTCCAGTGTTACCCTGTCAGTAGTTCTTAACCTGTGGGTCATAACTGTTTTGGGAGTAATGACCCTTTCACAGGGGTTGCCTAAGACCATCGGAAAATACAGATATTTACATTACGATTTGTAACAGTAGCAAAATTACAGTTATGAAGTAGCACCGAATGTAACTTTATGGTTGGGGGGGTCACATCATGAGGGACTGTATTAAGGGATCACAGCATTAGGAAGGTTGAGAACCACTGCTCTAGACAAGCACCAGTCTTTTCTCAACTGGAACTGAGTGGTCTCAGTTTTTAGTATTCCCCCATACTATGAATTTTTTTAGCAGGAATGTTTTTTCTAAAAAGTAGTAACTATCAGATTAACATTTTTGCACTAGTGTTCCAGTGTGTGTTGGGGAATATTATTTTAAGCTGTGTGCCTTTTGTTTATGCTGCATTTGTTTAACTCTGTGAAACTGTGATTCTTTGCCTGTCTAAATACCTGAATGGCCAATAACAAGAAGGAGCAAGGACAGGCGGGCTGGCAGGCAGAGAGGATAAATAGAAGGAGAAATGAGGAAAGAGCAAGGAGAGAACAAGGAGAGGAGGACATCAAGGGCAGCTACTCAGCCACCCAGCCACCCATAAAGAGTGAAAAAAAGATATACAGAAGAAGGATAGAAGCCCAGTGGGAAAACGTAAATGAGTTAACTTAAGAAAATCTGGCTAGCAACAAGCCAAGCTAAGGCCAGACACTCATAACTAAGAATAAGCCTCCATGTCTGATTTACCTGGGAGCTGGGTAGCATGCTCCTCAAAAAGGCCAAAAGAGCAAAAACAAGGTGTGTGTGTGTGTGTGTGTGTGTGTGTGTGTGTGTGTGTGTGCAGAATATTATTCAACTTTTTTTTTTCCGCGACCGTGCGCGTGCATGAACATATATGCACAAGCATGTTTGCTGTGTGGGTGGGCATGTTCCATTGCACGTATGGTGGTCAGAGGACAATCTCAGGTGTGGGCACTGCCATATTGTTTGAAGGAGGGTCTTTTTGTTGTTTGATATTACATCTTCTGGGCTCTTTTTTTTTCTTTTCTCTTTTGGTTGAAATGAGGTTTCACATAGCCTTAAAGCCCCTAGGTTCTAAAGGGGAGAATATTGAACATCTCCATTTCCTGCCTTCACCTCCCGGGCACTGAGATTATAGGTGTGCACCACCATGCATGACTTAGGAGGTATTGGAAATTGAACCACAGCCTCATGCCTGCTGGGTAAGCACTTTACCAACCAGAGCTACATCTGCAGCCTAGGCACAGTCATTTTAATGTATAAAAGAAAGCCCACTGCTCTGCATTTGTTCCTGCTGTGGAATATTAGTTTAAGATGTGTTACACTTGTTTATGCTGTGGAATATTTGTTCAATGATGCAAAAATGTATTATATTCCTTTATAATGCATTTGTTTAACTCTGTAAAGCTGTGTTACTTTGCCTGTCTAAAATACCTGACTGGTCTAATAAATAGCTGAACAGTCAATAGCTAGGAAGGAGAGAGAAATAGTCAGGGCTGGCATGCAGAGAGAATAAATAGAAGGAGAAATCTAGGCTCGGGAGAGAGGAGAGGAGGACACCAGGGATTGGCCACCCAGCCATACAGCCAGCCATGGAGTAAGAAGGAAAGAAAGACATAGAATAAAGAAAGGTAAAAAGCCCAGAAGCAAAATGTAGTTAAAGAGCAACGGGATAATTTAAGTTAGAAAAGCTGGCTAGAAACAAGCCAAGCTAAGGCTGGGCACTCATAAGTAAGAATAAGTCTCTGTGTATTTATTTGGAAGTTGGGTGGCAGGCCCCAAAGAGTTAAAAACAAAACAAAACAAAACATGCTCCCTGTAGTGTCTACAGCACACTATTCCCAACAAAGAAGCAAGTGACATCATCATTACATCACCCCCTTTTTTGTTTGTGGTTTTACATGTTCATATATCAGAACAACATTAGGTTTTGTGAAGCTGAGAAAATGTCTTAGAACCTCCAGCCTACAGTGCAAACAGCTGGTTGTTGCACAGGATTTTCCTCACTATGATGGGCCTCTCTGTCTTTGCTTCCCCAGCAAATGGAAAAGGTTTGGAAGAGGTGAATGGGGAGAAGAGGAAGAAAGGGGAAGGAGATTCAAGAGGGAGAGGGGAAGAGAAGCAGAGAAAGCAGTGGGTGGTGCATGCCTGTAACCTCAGGACTTAGGAGGCTGAGCATAAGGACTGCTGTGAGTTTGAGGCCAGCCTAGGCTACAGAGTGAGACTCTGTCTCAAAAACCCTGTAGGAGAAAAGGGGATGGAAGAGCTAGTTGAGGGCTACCTGTCCAGTGATGGGATAAGCCAGTGATTCTAAGGCCAGCCTGGCCCTGACTGGACATCTGGGACACACTTGTCCCCGGCCGTAGGAAGATGAGTTTGTGGCTCTCTGGGTGCTTCAAGTACCATCTTAGGTTGGTAGCCTCCTCTTTCTTCAGGAGAATGAGGTTCAGGGTGTCCCTGGGCGTTTGCTGCTGGGAGTCCAGGATCAGGTTTGCAGGAGCTGCAAAGACAGGGGATATTGAAGGGCCTTAGTCAGCAGTTCCTCTTCTTCACCTGAAGCCCGTCTCTCCACATCCCTCCCTGCACAACTTCCTTCTTGGCTACCAAAGGTGTCTGAAGGTGACTGCTACACCTCAGCCTGGTAGACCCTCCCACCAAGAACTAGTGGCAAGCCCTCTGGCTCAGGACTTCTGCTTTACAGGGACTTGGGGTTACTGAAGATACCCCTTGCCCAGATGTCTTCAGAGCCACCTACTTTCTTTAGTCTCATTTTTCAAGTTCCAAGCACAGGTCTAGTATCTTGCTGTGACAGCTGGCTTTGCTTTTTTCTTTTCTTTTCTTTTTTTTTTTTTTTTTTTGTGCCCAGTCAGAGGAGCAGCTGGATTTGGACCAGTTGCCAGAAACACAGGTCCAAAGAAAAAACAAAAGCAAATGAAAACCCCAGAAAGAGTTTTGATTTTTGTTTTCTTCACTTGGGGATACTAGTTTCCAAGTCCCCCATCCTCCTTACCAGGTGGCAGCAACTGGCAGTAGCCAGGAGCAGGACCATGGAAGCTGCGACACATACAGGGATCAATTTCTGATCTGTGGCCATGGCAGGTAGGATAAAGGGAGCAAAGTGTAGTGTTCCACAGGTAGCCAGAATGGCAAGTGCAGAACCTAGTCCCATTGTGGTTGACGCGGCACTCTGTGATAGAGAGAGGCAGGCAGGCTGAGGGAGTAAGACTGTGGAACCAGCAACTGATTTCTGAGAGGTCTCAGGGCTGGCTGACATTAATCTTGAAGTCCCAGGAGATCACCCACCCAGCACCCAGCTACCCAGCCACCCAAGAGGACTTCCTTTACAACCAGGACTCAGAGCAGCAGGCCATGCTGGACAAGGACACCCAGTGATGTTTCCCACACTCTGCCTGCCCCTTGTACCCTCTGCTCAAGTTAGAACAGTGAGATGTGAACTGGAAGGGGACAGGGCTGTCAGGTAAGGAGATGAGGAAGGAGCTAGGCCAGGGAGAATGATCCAGCTGCAGCCTATGGGAGAGGGAGATAGGGAGAGCTTGGTGCATCTTGGGCAAGCTGGTTAGCTGCAGAGTTGGGAAGCTGTGTCCTGTTCCCATTGAGCCCCTTTACCATGCAGCTGCTACCTGTTGTAAGAGCGAGGGCGGTAAGCATCCTTGGGGGAAGGGATGTGGAGGCCACAGGGAGAGTGAAGTTCTCAGGGAGTTCCTGTGGCCGGGTCCTGTTTGAAAACTCCAGCTGTACATAGCTGGAGACCAGTGCCAATTCTACAGAAAGAAGCAAAGGAGACAGCAGAGGAGAGGCAGTGAGGCCCTATGTGAGTCCTCCTTGCCTTTACATACTCAGCTGGCCATTTCTGGGGACACAAGCAGATGTCATTTCCCAGAGCCTGCCTAGGAACACACAGGATGCAGGACAGCAACAACTCCTGCCCTAGCAAAGGTGCATCCTGGTCCATGGCTCCGTGTCATCATTGCAAAGGCACACATGTCTTCCCAGGCCCCCACTGTCTGGCCCTCCCACAGCCTGTCCTCTCTCTGCCTACCTGGCTGTGCCCCATCCTGTTTCTTCCTTTTCTCTTTCTTATGCCCCTCCACTCACCCCCTACTCCCTTGTTTTGGTTCAGTTCATGCCCAGATTTCTCTCCAGATGGTTTGGGATCCTGGAAAGAGACAGAAGAGAGAGATCTGAGGAGAGGCTGGTCCCAAGCTCCTCCCAAGGCACCCCTTCTTTTTTAGCCTAGAGGCCAGATGTAAATATCTGGATGGAGAAAAGGCATTTAGAAGAAGGGGGACAAAGACACAATTCCAGGGACCCTGACAGGGCCAGTAGTGCCATCTGAAACCAGGAACCAGGCACACCCTGGGAGTCAACATGCTTTGCTTAGCTCCTTCCTGAATTTTCCTGTCCCTGGGCCTCTAGGCTAATTGAAATGGCTGGGTCCAGTGTACCAGCAGGGAGGCAAGAGGGGCATGCAATTTAACCCACTCTTTCCTCTCAAATTCTCATGTGCATGGGTCTCTAAAACCAGATGGCAGCACATTTGCAACCCTAGCACCCAGGAAGACTTGCAGCATGTTCAAGGACAGTGTGGGCTACATAGTGTGTTCCAGGCCAGCCTGGGCTACAGAGTGAAACTTTATTTCAAAAACCAACAACAACCACCCCCAACATATGAATAATAAAACCAGAAGAAAACAAGCATGGTGGCTCATGCCTGCAATCCTAGCTCTTAAGATAATGAGACAGGAGCATCTCTTAAGCTCAAGAGTTCAAGACCGGCCCAGGCAACAAAGCAGATTTATACATAAAATAAAAACAAAGTAAATAAAACTTAGTGGTGCCATAGATATGGATATAACATAAATGGATATAGAGAAGGATAGGGTATAGATAAGACTCAGAGAAAGCTACAGATCACAATAGATTTGGAGATGTAGATAAGTAAATAATGATATTGTGACCTTCCTGGGAAAAAACAGATTATAAAAATACAAGCCTAGGCTCTACCGCTCTATCCCAGACTTTCTCCCATCCGCTATGCCAACGAGCTTTCAACCTGTGAAGATTTTCTTTTCATAGTGGCCAGCATGGCCAGAAGACCTTTATCCACAGTGCAGCAGGTGTCACAGGACTTGGTGGGACTCAATAAAGACATGGAAGTGTCCCTTCACTCCGAGCAAGAAGACGGGCTTCTTGGGAGTCTTGCAAGCTGATTCCTTCCCTCCACCTGTCCTTTCATCCCACACTCTGTGGTCCCTCAAGCTGAGGCTCTGGTTTCTGCAGATATCCCCAGGGTCCTCACCCCAGTACTTACAGAATGGACTGTGGGGACAAATGTTGACTCCAGCTCCATCAGGGGAAGCATCATGGCCAGGAGCAGCTGGGAGAGAGCTCGAGAGGCCATGGCTTGATGCAGCCGTCCCTAAAAGCCTCCAGCTGTCCCATGATGCAAATTTCCTCCCCAGAGCTGGCACAGAAGGAAGGAAAGGAAAGGGTACAATGACCCAGGCTGAATTTACCAAGCAATTGCCACGGCCTGTGATTCAGTCAAATATGCTTCCAGGTCACTGGGGCCATCTGGACCCCACATGACCCTGTGAGAGGACGGTGCCTGGACTCCCCTGGACTCTAGACCAAGAACTCAAGGAGGAGGGGACACAGATGATGCCAAGTTACAAGAAACAGTGGGCCACAGAACCAGGTTCATGCATGGTCCATGGAGCTAGGAAACTTGTTTTGGAATTCCTCCAAGAAACTGGATCATTGATCCAAAAGCCAATATTAGAAAATACTATAAAAGGGGGAAGTGATGGGTGGTGGTGGGCCTTTAGTCCCTGTGCTTGGGAGGCAGAGGCAGGCTGACTCCTGTGAGTTTGAGGCCAGCTTGGTCTACAGAGTGAGTTCCAGGACTGGCTCCATAGCTACTGAGAAAACCCTGTCTGGAAAATCCAAAGTAATAATAATAATAAAGAAAATAAAGAAACATGGGCTTGTTTCAGTGTCTTCTTTGGGCATGTCACACTCTGCCACCTCCACAGGTATACCAATTCAGCAACACTCTGAACTTATCAGCTTTGAAATGGGTATGGATGCTTCATCATATATACATGATTGACTATTTTTGTTTGTTTGAGAGAGGGTTTATTTGTATAGTCCTGGAACTCACTCTGTAGACCACACGTTGGCCTTGAACACAGAGATCTGCCTGTGTCTGCCTCCTGAATGCTGGGACTAAAGGCGTGTGCCACCACCATCACTCCTGGCCAGGCAGGATTGGCCACTAGTCACCAAATCCCCAACTCTTCTCTGCTCTCCAAGTTGGGCTGGGAGCAGGGTTGACATTTCCAAGCTTCTAATTACAGAGCTGGTTCCCCTAGTACCTTGCTTGTCACACTCAGGCTACCCAGGAGCTGTACCTCTCATCTCAATAGCATATAAAAGGACATGCACCACTATGGGGGATTCCTAGCATTTTAGGAGCTTTGTGCCAGGAAACTAGGTAGATACCAATAAAGTGTGTGTGTGTGTGTGCGCCCACACATGCTCATGTGTATTACATCACAGAGCGCAATTCTTTCCAGGCCAAGGGCATCCCAGAGACAGGGAAATGGTGGTAGCTATAGCTGGCTATGAGGCACTGACTTCAAATGCCTGAGAGAGAGAGAGAGAGAGAGAGAGAGAGAGAGAGAGAGAGAGGAGAGAGAGAGAGAGAGAGATCATTCCTAACACACCCCAGGCTTGATTTTCTAAAGAAAATGTCTTAACTGCCAGGCCATGCATTTTAAAGGGCTGTGCCTGTATAAAGAGTTTGGAAATCAGCTTTTTGAATCAGTGTTTGATTGCACTTGATTTTCCCTGTGGCTTTTTGTTGTTGTTGATTCCTTTGCTTGCTTTTTGTTTTGTTTGTTTTTGAGACAGGAGCTCACTCTGTAACCCAGATTCTAATACCCTATACTGGGACTGCAGGAATGCACCACCATGTCTGGCTTCCCTCTACCTTCTGAAGGCTCCCCAGGATAAACTGACAAAGATAATGCAGGAGACAAGGCATTCAGATTTATACTCTATTGGGGTGTGGTTATGCACCTCTTTTATCCCAGCACTTGGGAGGCAAAGGCAGGTGGAGCTCTCTCTAAGTTAGAGGCCAGCTTGGTCTACAGGGTAAGTTCCAAGGCAGCCAGAGCTATGTAGAGAGACTCCGTATCAAAAACAAATAGGTTCTAGAGAGATGGCTCAGGGGTTAAGAGCACTGCCTGCTCTTCTAGAGGTCCTGAGTTAAGAGCACCCACGTGGAGGCTCACATGATGCCCTCTTATCTAATACCCTCTTCTGTCATGCAGTCATACATGCAAATAGAGCACTCACATAAAACAAACTGACTTATAATCTGCAAAAATTTGCTAAATGAGAAATATTACCTGTGTGTGTTTTATCTTCTGGGTCAAAGTGCTCACAAATTTGCATATCCGTCTTTTTACAGGGGAGAGGTAGGGATGTCAGAACAGTACATGATTTTTAGGTCTTGGAGAACATATGATGGCCTGGGACAAAATCTGTTCTGCAGAATGGACAATGGGTTGTAATTGATTCTGAGAGAAAACCAAAGGATAATGCTAGACCTGGGGTTGTCCAGGTGTGCTAGCAAACTTCAGTCTTTCTTCTTTTGATGTGAGTTTAGTTAACAGAAGGTCTGGTGGTGACTGCTTCTTGGGTGGGACTGAACTTCAGGCAGGTAGGGGGCTTTGTACAAAGCCCGTCAGCACTGGGAAATACAAGGGGAAATGGGAGGGACCTGAATTCTGAGGGGTCTCAAGGAGCTCCAGATTTCAAGGCACCAGGGGAGATGCTTTGTGACACGTTCTGGAGGGGTCATGTGGAAATTCTACGCTTTGTTGTTGTTTTTCAAGACAGGGTTTCTCTGTGTAGCCCTGGCTGTCCTAGAACTTACTCTGTAGACCAGGCTGACCTGGAACTCAGAGATCCACTTGTCCTGACTCCCAGGTGCTTAGATAGAAATTCGTGGGTTATCATGCTCTGTTTATGCTTACATTTTGAGGAGTTAGCAAACATTTTCCCACAGATACTAAAAACCATTTTACATTTCTTCTTGAAGTGCATGGATTCCAATTTTCCTCTTTTCTTACCAACACTCTAGTTGAGGCTGGTCCTCAATCCATCAGTGTCTTTATCTTGCATTAAGTCACCATTTTTCTGCTCTACAATCCAGACTATAGCCAGTCAATGAGTCCATGATTTCCATGGTTAGAGAGTACACTTTTTTTTTATGCCTAACCCCAAAATTCAAAGTACAAGGGAACTAGCTTTATTCATTTAACAAATGCCAAAACCTGCCATGTGTTGTAGAAATAATATTATTTTGTGTGGTTCATTATGCCAAATACTCTGAAAACAGTAATATTAGAAAATTTACTTTCTAATAAAAGAAAGCTAAGCATCCCTCACTGAAGAAAAAACCCTGTGACACTGGGCACTCTTTCTTAGAGAGTATTTGCTGAGACCAGTAGAGACCTTGGTAAGAAGGAGGCCTGCAAAATGGCTCAGCTAATGAACGTGATTGTATACCAAGCCTGATTACCTGATTTCAACCCCCTGTTCTACCCGGTGGAACGAGAGAACTCTGTGTGTTGTTTCAGGCATGTGAACACTCATGTGTGCATGCTCACACACTTTAAATGGTGCGATAACAATAAATGAAGAAAACCAGAGCCTGGTTTTGTCCTATGCTTATCTGAGCACGTAGTCATGTCTATTGTTCTAACACTAGGTGGCGCTCCAAACTCAGATTTGTACCAATTTTGCTGCAGTCTTAGTGCCTCAAAAAAATTGAAATTTGATGGCTGGGAGGTGTGGACTCCCGGTAAAGGGGTAGTTGTCTGCCTGTCTGTAGGCAACCCTTAATAAATCCATTCTTTTCATCATGCTAGACTTGGGTACGATATTCGTTGGGTTGTTGGCATCGCTCCAATTTGGAAGCAGACATTTCCCCAGGTAATACACAGAACTGTTTATTATCAGTCTCTGCCCCTAATTTACCTTTTTAAAGGGATTGTAAACTTTATTACATTAATTTACTATATCTTGTGTTTCCACTTAACTGGGAATTTGATTGCTTCTGTCTTCTGCAGTTATGAAAGTGGTTCACTGTCCTGCTATAGGAAAAACAGAATGGTTTTTCCTAGCCTCTCAACAATCAACACTTCTGACATCAGGTGGGCAGGATGTTCTCTGTTTACATCAACAGGCATTCGGGTCTGTAACAGGTTCTGCAGCAGACACTGGTGGGCTGTCTTCTAAATACGTTCACCGTCTGTCTGAAGATACCTTTGGACTCCAGGGCTTACCCTACCAGGCTGCTACCCACTCTAGGTGCCAATCTCCCTCCAGCCCCTGTTGTTTTGCTCATGCTTTTGACAACCCGATACCCAAGATTCCCATGACATCTGCCTTGGATTCAGTTAATTTGCTGGAGATGCTCATACCTCAGAGAAGCACTTGGCTTCCCTTTATCCATGTACTAGCCATTTGTATAGTGGAGAGACACAGGAGGCAAGAGATGTAGGAGGATATCTCTGCGTATACCAACTTCAGGACCCCCATGTTAGCAATCTACAAGCATCCCTTTGGGGTTTTAAAGGAAGTTTCATTATGTAGACATGATTGACTCACTGGCCATCAGTGATGGACTTGTACCGCCTACCCTTCCTGGAGGATGAGGGTAGAAGCTACAAGTCCTGCCTCTCTACCATATCTTCATCCTGCTAGTGACTAGCCCTTATCCTGATGCCATCTGGGGTTCTTCAGCTACCAGTTTTCCATCAGTATATCAGATAGACATTTCACAATGTCACAGGGTCCCTTTGACTTTTGCAATAAGTTGTTCCCCCCCCCCCGGGTTATTTTCTAATATTATATCATTCCCATGTGAACTTCAATGAGTACAAACACTGCTTTAGCACTTGCTGACGTCATCTTCTCTCTATGAAAGCTTACCAAGGGCCTCTTGAATATGAGACACTGTGCAAGGTTCAGGTGTATTCAGATGTGGATCTCCCACAGATAAGAAGGGCAAATGAGACAAGCAGGAGCCACTGTGGGAGTACTTCCGGACAAGTCTAGGGGGTGCAGGGTGGGAACTGAGACAAATGTTTTCTTGCAGGTCTCAAGAAGCTGAGGTAGGATGGTTGAGTTTGAGGTTAGCCAGAGATAATTACTGAAACCATTTTGGTTTTACTTTTTTATTTTTTTCAAGTTTGGTCGCCCATGCCTTTAATCCCAGCACTCAGGAAGCAGAGACAGGTGGATCTCTGAGTTCAAGACCAGCTTTGTCTACAGAGAGAATAAAGAGAATTCCAGGACAGGCAGAGCTACACAGAGAAACCTTGT